TATAGATTTCTATAAATCAAATGCGATTAAAAAAAGCGATTAATAATTAATATTTTCACTTTTAGAAACATTTTATCAATAATTGATTTCATATATTAATTCAATACGAAAATTAAAAAATTATTATATCCTATTTTACTATTAGAAATGTTTTTTTTTTCGAATTCTTTTTATTATTTTTTTTATATTATAATAAATTAATAATATTATTAATTTATAATTTCAGTTAAAATTATATTATAAAACTAACTCTAATATTTTGAATCAAGGATATAACAGTGAGTTAGATTTAAATTACATAATTTTATATTTCATTTTAATTTATATTATAGAAGATATTTTTAAAATTATGATACAATTGAAAAAGGAATGATTTCTGATATAAAAATGAATTGAAAATATATCTTTTTATTTCATTTTTTTATTTATATTTTATATAAATATACACAAATGACATTGATTAGCCAAAAGATTGAATAAAGATTGCGTCTAAGTGCACATGTATGCAATAAATAAGCCAATTTTCATATTTGATTTTTTTTGAAAAATGGATTATTATGAAAGTTTTAATATATTTTCGATTTATTTTATTTTTATGAAATTACTTTGTTTTCGATTGTATCATCAATTTCAAAAATATTCTATAAAATTATATTGAAACTATTACTTATCATAATAATATATATACATATATATATAGCATATATATCATGAAAGATATGAAGTACAGTATGTGAACAATTAATTCTCTGTAATGACACGTGATTTGAATATATTTAAATATGAAAATATTTAATATAATGAAATATATTTAAATATTTATATTCTTTCTTTTATTTTTTTATTATTATATCTTATTATTATATCTTATTAGTTTGTCATTATATTACTAATACTATATGATTTATTTATAATGATCATTAATTTTTATATTTCAAATATAATAATGATTGATTATTAGAATTTTTTCTTTTTATAAGCAAAAAAAATTCTGTTTATAGTCTATATAATCTATACAATTTATATGTTAAAAAAATTAATTATTATTATTAACTTTTTATAAATCATGTTATGATTTTACATATTATTATTGTCAATTTTGTTTGAATCTTTCGTTATAAAAGTTGAATTCTTCGAATAAAATAAAATTAAATTAAATTATTGTTTTATTTCATTTGCAATATAATAAATTTTATAATGAAATGTCTCTGTGATTTCGATATGAAAAAGATTATTATTAAAAGCACAATTATTTTTATATTATAATAACGATATATATAAATATATGTTTTTGTGCGAATTTTAGTTAGGTTAAATTAATTTAAATTAAATTATGATAAGTGAATGGAAGAAATATTTGAAAATTAAAAACACTAATCATTATTAACATTAATCATCATTGTAATAACTTCGATGCAATTACAAACATAATTTAATTTGTTGCAAATATTATATCAGGTATTAAGGTAAACAGGATAAATGGTAAACAGAAATTTAAAAAGGCAAACATCCATCCAAGATATGTTTTTTTTAATTGAAAAAATATCGATAGATCTACAATTGCAATTCATTTGCAATCAAGCAATTATTACAAAATAATCAAGTAATTATTACAAATCATCAAAGAATAATATTCTTTTATGTAAATCTAATGAAATATAATAAAGAAAATTTGTTTTCTAATTCTTTGCAAAAAATCACTAATATACTTATATTTTTTCATTAAGCTTTAACGAATGACATTTTGTTTATAAGAATCATTCATACATAATGTATATAATGAAATCTATCCAAATTAAATTTATGTCTGTTGACCTAAATTAAGATTATTATAAGTAGCTCGCGAAATAAATATCTAGAAAATGTGCGCTCATTTATTTAATTTTCTCAATTTGCAATATAATAAATTTTATAATGAAGTGTCTCTGTGATTTCGATATGAAAAACATTATAAAAGCATAATTATTTTTATATTTATGATATATATGATAGCAAAAGAAAATAAGCTAGTAAAGTTTATGCTTCCTTTAAACAATATTTATTTTTACCTCCATATTTTTTCTGTAATCTTATCTTTTTTCACTTTATAGAATATCCTGATTATATCTGTATATATTATGACTATTATATGTATTAGTACTGTTACAGATAAAAATAGTTTGGGATAATGACCTTATTTCATGAGTTTTGGGATTCTGTAATTTTTGAAAATTTTCTAAATTTTTCAAAATCAAGAATAATGTGATTTCCATTTTTCAAATTCTCAGACTTTAGTCGAGAATTAACAATTAATATATCTTAAAATAATTCAATCATTCTATAATAATTATATCAAAACAATAATTTCTTTTTATATCAAATATTATGAATATGTAGATATTATTATAGATTATATATAGAACAATTTTTTTATGGAATATCATTTTTAAAAGGAATGAAATTAATCCTTAAAATATTAATATTATTTTCTTTTTTTTTTATATTCGTTATAATTTCGTAATAAAGTAAATTTCAATAAGATAAAATAGAACAAAATTTTGAATTATAAAATAATTTTAATATTCTATTTTAATTTGTTATAAAAAATATTTTTAAATAATATATAAAATATGAAATCATATATAAAATATGAAAAAAGTAATTAAAATTTAAGAATTAATCTCACGCATTCAAAGAGATTTTTTTGTTAAAAATAAATTGTTCTATGCATAATCCTTATACTTACATTATACTTACATATATATAAATTTTTATTAAAATCAAATTTTTAAGATTGATAAGTTTTCTTGTAAGATAGGATATATATTTGTGATTAACTATAACTATTTTTTTGTTTGAATTGATATTAGAATGCAGAATTTTAGATTAAATTAAGAATATTAAATTGAAATGATTGAATAGAAAAATAAAAATAGTAAATTTCTTTGTAATATTGATAAAAATGGTGATAATTAATATTATAAATTAATTGTAATAATAAATAAATTAGTTTTTAACTTTTTAATAAAAATTTTTGAAAGAATCTATAATCAAGTGATCCATCCTTGAGAAGGTATGAAATCATTTTTTTTTAAACAAATGAAGCAAATTAAATCGTATCAAATAAATTGAATATACGGTTTTGTAGATAAATCTTTAGAAAAAAATCATTAGATAATGAGTGAAAAATTAATAAATGATAATTTTATTTCTTGTAACATAGACATTGTTTTTTAAATTCTTTCATTTAGTACATTCAATACATTATAGAGATTATTATAAAAAATTTTAAATTGTAAAAAAATGAATAAAAATGGATATAATTTTAATAAGTAATTTGGCAATGAATTTAATTAAGAAATAAGTAATAGAAAAAATTTATTAAGATATAATGAAATAGTAAGAAAAAAAGAGTAAAGAAAAGAAAATCTAAAATATAAAAATATATCTTACTTATATATATATAACAGAAATTCATTAATAATTTCTTAAGAATAATAGACTTTAATTTTTAAAAAATAAAATTGTAACATAAAATAACATGATATAATATATAGCAGACTTTTATGTTTCGATTCTTAATTTCAATGAAAATTGAAATATTGAAATATAATTGCTAATAAGATTGTTTTTTTTTTATTTTTTCCTTTATTAATTATATTAATTAATATGAAATTTTCAATTGATTTAATCAATTATTTTTTATACATCTTAAATAAATTAATTTTTCCATAAATAAGTTTCTATTATAAAAATATTACAAAGATAAATACTATCATAAAGATAAATAATTTAAATCGATTTTAATATTAATAAAATAAAGAAATTTTTGTAATATTTTTATAATATTTATTTTCTTTTTGTATTATTATTTATTTATTTTTTTATTTCTACAATATTTATATATTTGTTTTTACAAATAGATCTATTTATTTTAATTCCTTTAGATGTTTTTTTTTAATATTGTGAATAATTATAAATTTATTCAAAATTTTTATAATTTTCACAAGAATCAGAAAAATTTTTATAATTTATGTTAAATTTTAAAAAAGTTTTATTTATTTCTATAATGCAATACGAATTATAGAAAAGTGAAGAAAAGCAATATTTTTTATAAATATAAAATCTCATAGATTTACTATGAGATTTTATTAGAGATTATATTAGACTATAGACTATAAGACTATATTACATTTCTTATATTTGTTATTAATTTAATTTAAAATAACTTATTTTTAGATTTTTTATATATAAATATAAATATAAATATAATTTTTTATATATAAATTTCATTTAAATATAAATAAATAAAAATATAAATTGTATTTATTGATTAAATTTTAAATAAAAAAATTCCAGATTATCAATACAAATTTAGAAATTAATATTTAAAATATTATATATACTACAAATGCGAATAAAATTATTATTAAATACTTTATGATTAATATATTTTTTCTAAGTTACATATGTAAATATATATAAGAAATAATATATGAAATATAAATATATTTAGAAATTTTATTAATTTTGTAAATTTTTAAATCATTATGAATAAATATAATAATATGTTTTAATATATTTCTATTTAAAATTTAATTTTTTTTTTTAGTTTACTCATCTAAATAAAAATAAAGATCTTATCAAATATCACATTTCTTCAAAAATCTATAGAGAGAATTTCTTTTTCTCAGAATTTCTTTTTCTCATATCAATATCAACTAATTTTTTTCGAATAAATGATTTTATATAATACTATATGTAAATAATATTGTGTATTCTACTGATAAAAATTATAATATTTGATTACATATGTCAGAAATATAAATGGCAACTATTGTTCGCTAAAATAAAATAACATAATTGAAAGGTGAATGTTCATTCATATTTCATAGAAGAGACTTATATTTCATGTTTGTTTCATGTTACAATGAGCACCCATTATTAAACTACGGACTGTGATTCAGGCTGGGCAGGCACGTGCGTCGTATGCGCGGATGAAGTAGTGGAGCGCAGCGCAGCCGCAGTCGTCGTTCGGATCTCGATCGGGTCGGTTCTGTAAAGTGTTCGTAGGTAGATTCGCGAGCACTAGTTCAAGCATCGTTTAGTCCATTCCGAACCGTTGATAGGGATGGTCTTTTTCTTAATTTTTCTATATGATTATACATAATATAATTTTCTTTTGTATATTTATCCACTTTTTTTGCAATCGTATGTGTTTATCGATTGTTCATTCATTCGTCTTTTTAAGATATTAACGAAACAGAAAGTGAAAAGACAGAGAAAAAAAGAAAAAGTAATATTATCACAATTCGAATCATCATGGATAGATCATCGAAAATGATTCTACGAAAAATTATTATAGATTTTGTATGCATTTTTATTGGTAAGTGAATTAATATATTTCATTAAATGCATTTATGTAACATACGCGAACGAATGTTTCTGCAATTCATAGTATGAGTGGTAACTGCCGCGAGAGATTTCTTTGTATTCGTGTTAGAAGGGTACGATGAACGATGATTACGTTATATCGGGCGGCTGTCAGATTGACAGTCGAGGCGCCGCACGCGGCCTGTTTGATCTCTATACAAATTAACCTTTAAATTGGCAGGTGCTTGCTTCGTTGAGGATATTGTTACCAATAGTGTGTTATCTTTATGTTTGTAAATTCTCACGTTGTAATTAATTTAGTTATATATTTTATTCGATAAAACTACGAATTGTTTTCTAAAGTAGAATGTTCGTTATGCATATCGAAAAGTTATTATTTAAGAGCTTCCAGGAATATATACTTATTGAGATTTTTATTGCACGATCATCTAACATATTCTTCTAACGTAAATTAGATGAACCTAAACAAACCAAAAAATAAACTAAAAAAAATAATGTGATACTAATAGTAGTTTTTATGTTTGTAAAAGAAGTTTTTAATCAGGATTTTTTGCAAACTTTTATGTATTTTTACATGTTATTTGAATTAAACGAATTCTTTAAAGATTTGTTATTTAATTTGAACGAAATGTATAGATTGTTTGATAAAATAATTTGAATTTTTAAATATGAAATTTTTGAATTTTGATGATGAAATTAAAATGATTAAAAAATATTGTTTAATTTATCGTGATAAATATGATGTATGTATAATACTTTTTAGCTCGATCGATTTAATGTGAGAAGTAGTGACACGGTTTTGTTTAACGGGCTATCTAGTACACTGCAGTTATTTAAATGTTCTTTTTTTTTGAAAATTTAATATTTAATATGAAAAAAAATCAATAGATTTAAAGATTTTTTTAATAATTGGTATATCATAACATTTTTGACAAATAATATAATTTTTTCAATATTCTTTAGTTAACAAATATAAAATTATGAGAATTTTTTTTAATAAAAAAAAAAATCAAAATTAATTTGAATAATTTGAATAAATCATTATAAAAATATTTTTAAAAGTTAAAAAATTTTATCTTTTTTATTCATTAATTATAATTTATATATTTTAATAGTTTTAATTTTTTAATTATAAAATTACATTTATCTTTTAGAATTTTTAAATTTGTTTCTTGAAATCTCGATAAAAATAATATAAAACAACTATCATTTTTAAAAAAAATTGATTTTATATATTTATACGTATAAATTTAAAAAAAATGTATATATCAATTATATATATTAATTATATATTAATTAAAAAATGTATATAATACTATTTTTATTAAATGAATTAAATGAAAATTTTTCGTCCATAATAATATAGAGAATAAAATGAATAAATTAATAATTTGCAATCATATCAGTTATTATTTTACTTATTTTTGCTTTATTACAATTCAATATTTTATTAATAAAACAAAATTATTTTCTAATTCATTATTATTATTTCATTTCAATATTAATATTATTCACATTTTTTTAATTATTTAATACAAATTTCAATAATTTAATTTTTAATTTAAAGATTTAAGTACAAAATTATAACATTATATAATATAATGTAATTCATTTATTAAAAATATAAAAATATGAATTTGATTAAAAATTCATTGAAAAAAAATTGATTAATATTTTAAATGAATTCTATTAAAAAAAATAAAAGATATTTAAATTTAAAATATTTGAGAATAATTTAATATTTTATTAACATATATTTATATAACATATATTTATATAATATATTTTTATTTAAAATGATATAAAATAATTAATAAATTAATACGTTAATAAATATATTTTCCAATATTTTCAATTATATAATTTATATGTAAATATATAATATATAAAAAAAATTTAAAAATAAAAAGAAAAAATGAACTGAGAACAAATATTTCGATAGATATATTCAAAATAATTTTAATTATTAATCTTCCTAAAATTGTAAAAAAAACAAATAAACTTTTATAATGATTTTATTTTTTTCTATCAATGAGTATCATAGGTACCCAAATAATATATTTGTAACATATTGTAACTCTATTGTTTTGAATAGAATGATTTTTTCGAAAGTCTTATTTAAAATTCTATTTTTTTCGAATTTATTTCGATGTTGCAATATCATGTATAAAATATATTAAAATAAATTAAAAGTTGAAGAAAAAATTTGTAGTAAATCTGGAGATGTAAATACATGAATCAAAATACATGAATTTTATATATATTATATATTATTATTTATATATTATGTACATATTACATATTATATGTAATATAATATTATGTACATATTATATATAATATTATTATTATAAATTAATAAATATACATATCTAACATAAATATTGCAAAACTGATAAATAAACATTATATTATAGTTGAATATTAAATGACGTAAAAAAAAACATAATAAAGAAAAGTATTTGTAATCGTGATATTTAAAAATTTTTTGTTTATACATGAATTACATATAATATACATTGAATTACTTGATTATAAATGATTTTATGAAATAAATAATAAAAATGATTGGTATTAATTAATTAAAAAATATTTCTTTATTTAATTCTATTTATAATATAATTTATATTTATAATAATGTTATAAATTATAGTGTAATGATTCGTATTTTTTTATATAGGTAATGAAAAAATAAAAGTTATATCGATTAATTGCACATATTTTTTTATAATTGAACTTTTACAAATAATATAATATATATTTTAATAAAATACATTATAAAAAAAATAAAGTTTTAATAAAAAATTAAAAAAAAATTCCTTTATATTTTCATATTTATATCGACGTACCTATTTGTCTGAAATAAAATTTATTACTGAAAACGATATTTATTGCTGTCTACTTTAACCGTCATCTTTTATAGTTATTCGAGTCGATGTAAAAGTTAAAAATGAGCAAAATTTATAATTATTTAATTTTTCATTATAAAAAGAAAAAAAAACAAAAAAGAAAAAATTTGTGTTATATATTTTAAAATATATGAATATAACATAAATTGGATAATCAACAATATTATAAAAATTAGAACAGATATTTTGGAAATCTGTTTTCTTTCAAATTATATAGAATGTTTTTGAATTGGTCATATCGAGAAAAAATTCGAAAATATATACATACATACATACATATATATATATATAAATCGAAAAGAAATGATATATATATATATATATATATATATATATAAGTCGAAAAGAAATGATATGAAAAATTTGCCAAAAACATGTATGCTTACATTTTTGATAGATATTATTATAGTAATGATATATTCAAATTTATTATATTACATTTAAAAATTAAGTGATATTCATTTTTTCTTCATTTTAATAATTGAAACAAGCATTTGTTTTATCATTTGTTAATTGGTAAATTTAACTTCATTCAAATGCTCTACAAATGCTTTCAAGTTCGATAGATTATATTTAAACATAAAAAAGCAATTAAATGATTTCATAGAGCAATAATTATTATTGAATTTAAGAGGTCATTTTTTTTAATTGAATAATACATTTTAATGAATAAAATTTAGAAATTTTAGTTTTAATTTTAGAAATTTATTTTACATTAACATTTGAAGTTATATGTTTTTAAAACTGTCCTTTTATCGATGTTTATATGTGACAAATCAATGATTATATAGATAAGATGTATTGATGTAGTGAAAAATATGCCACACTGCATTAATTCCACTGCATTAATTCCACTAGATTGTAAATAATGCAGATTCCTAATCTTTCTACTTTTATGCATTTCAACTGAGATATTAATTGCTAATTAAATTTTTATTTGAAATTGATTTACAATGCCTTTTTATATCCTTTTAAAAATTTTCAATTTTATTGATCCTTGGATGCGAAACATTCGCTATAAAGAAACTAACAATATAGAAATAAAATCAAATAAATATAATAAATATAAATATTCATAAGAATATATTTTATGTAAAGTCAAAATAAAATTATTTAAAGTCTCAATATTGAATTTAAAAAAAAAATTTATAAAACAAATAATAAGAAATAATGTTTACGTTTAAAAATTATTGATATTAATTAACTAGAAAATGTTTATCTATTTATAATGCATACATATTACAATTCGATTGAAATATTAACGATAGAGAAAATAATATCAATTATATAATAATAATAATAATCCTATAATAATAATTTTTCATAATTAATTTAATTATTAATTATTTATTAAATTAATAATTAATTTAATTATTAAATTATGAAAATAATTATCTTTTTATTTTCTATAAAAAATTTTTACGATATAATATCTTTTCAATATAAAATAGTAGTTTTAATATTTATAAAAATATTAAATATAAGAAACTAGATTTTTTAAAATAAATAATAAAATAATAAAATAAGACAACTTATTCGGAACACCGAAAAAATTATACAAATTGTTTTTATTTCGACTTAATAAGTTCATTTTAAATAAAGCTATACAATTTCAAAGATTTTTTTTTTTTGTTAGTATCAAAGTTATAAAATTTTATTTTTAAAATCTTAGTTTTAATTCAGCTTTCTATATATTTTTCTTATGCTGTTTGTATATATCATATTTTTTAATGCCAAGTTTTGCAAATCGTGAGTATGATTCATGAACTAGTAGTAAAAGGGCAAAGACAAAAAAATTTTTCGATAAAGAGAAACATGGCAAATCACAAGGGAATCACAGATACAGATGAAAATCAAATAATACAAAAATGAGTATTATTCGCGGCAAAAAGTAGGCCGAGGGCATTTTCACCTTGAAAGTTGCTCACAGGTGTCTGTTTGTTCCATCTTTGTTTGTTATGTTTGTTTTCGCATTCAACATGTGAATAAGCTTTAAAATTGTGCAAGTTACTTCATTTTTCTTCTTTTTTATTTCTTTTTTTATTAAATCGTTAAATATAAAATGGCATAACATAAAATCTTT